AATTCGTGGGGACTTCCCCGATTTGCCGGGAATTTCAGATTGCGTGGGGAATCTGGGAAAAGAGCCGTTTTTTGTTGGGAATTTCAGTTTACATGGGAAATCGGGGGTTGAGCTGTTCCTTGTGAGGAATTAGGTGTTAGCTTTTTTTTTATTTTTTGCTTCACTAATTTCATAATGAGTTAAAAAAGTTGCATAAGAAATTCAACTGCAACTAAAAGTACTGATTATGCAACCCTGCAATTATGCAAATTACCGTTGATTTTTTTGGAATTTTCCTTGTCACATTGGCTTTCATATAGCGAATAAACCATTTATTTTTATATGGAAGTAAAGCGCAAAACCTTCGGAAACAAATTCTAAAACGAAAATTTTTAGCCACTTGAAACGTCACTGTGGAATGACCCTAACTATGTAGATGCATATTTATGTATGGATATCATATCTGTGTTCGTATCGAATAATAGCTTATGTCGGAAGGCTGGCTTTAGTATAATGGACCATTCCCTTTATTCTTTAAACCACAAGATGTTTTTTGATGGGACTTAATAAGAATATTGATGGGACTTAATACGATATCGATACTAATATTTGTTTCACGTTTATTTGCCCAGAGCCCTTCAACGGCTCGGCGCTAGAGTATCATTCGCAATCCTATGTATATGGGCAATTCTCAGAAACTTCGAATTTTATGGTGAAATTTTTTTTTATTTTTAAATCGCGAGCACAAGTCTAAAATTTTTAGTATACGTTCCTTCAGCTGCTAGAATACAAAATCCACCGTGCAACGTTTTAAAGCAACGCACCATACGTTTTTACGCGTTTTTTTGAAAGTGGAAAGTGGGCGTAATTTAAATGCATAGCATTTTAATGTAAATGGAAAAAATTAATGCAGTAATTTTTGATATTTAATGTAAATGAAAATTTCAATGCATTAATTCCGAAGAAATAGTGCTAATGATTTTTTTTTTGTATTAACATTAAAATGTTTAAATGAATGCTTTTGCAATATTTTATTGCATCAAAATTATAATAAGCATTAAAAACCCATTAACTAATTTAATTTTGAAGTAATAATTTTTTGCTGACGTTAAGGCTGGTTTTCACTATGTCAAGTTCAATGGCATTTGTCGTTAAATATGTAAAAACACATTGGCAAATGGAACCAAAAAACGGCTTATTGATTAATTTAGATCAGAGTAGGTCCTCAGTCGTGTACATGCGCTGCTAAATTGGCTATCTGTCCGTTTTTGGCTCATAATATATGTAATCGGTATGCATCAACAATCAACATAAAAAAATCTACAAAAGCACCCTGAGTTGCGTGCACATTGGTTTTTATTTTCATAAAATGGCTAACAATGTTTAGAAGAATTTTTCTACAAATACAAATAAATATAATGAAGCTGAAAAAAACTGTTAGTAATTATTCCAAGTCCTTCCAAAAGAGGTTATTTATAATTCACTAGAAAAAAATTTAATGGTTTTTAATAATGAAAACGAGCAAAGGTATTAAACATTTTAGTGCATTAAAAATTTTTCATTAACATTAGCTTGGATAATTTAATGGAAAAAAAATTTCATTAGCATTACATTTTTCAGAATTAATGCAATGAAATATTCATTTGCATTAAATTTCATAAATTAATGCATTAACATTTTACATTAACATTATTGCTTTAAATACCATTAATGCATTACAACAGTCGGGTCTACGTAACCGGAACGACCCAGATTTATATTTGGCCAAGGACTGTCACTCCAGCAACACTCCCCAAAAACTCTTTGGGGAGCTTGTATGCTGCTACAACAACAACAACATTTAAATTGTCCAATGAACATATCAAATGACAGGCACATTTGATTTTACTCTTCTGTATCTTCTATATCAATGACGGTAAAAATTACAATTTACTATCATTTACAAGAAATATAAAATGTGAAGTAAATTTTTCGATTGCCATCCAAATTGATTGCAATTCTTTACAGCTGTGATGCATGTATGTATGAGGAAAACTATTCCCATCACTTTTAATTATTGTTTCAGGAGACTGTATACAGACGTCGCTACTCTGCATTGTGGAATGATGTTTCTACTACTAAACTGTTATCAATGGTTGAGCAGTATCCATGCTTTTATAACAAATACAACATCGATTATCGCAGTAAGGAAAAGCGCGGAGAGGCGTTGCAGCAAATGGCAACTGAATTGCAAAAGATGATTGACGTATCCACCATACAAATATCAAAGCGTATTTCGCAATTACGTTTCGACTATTCCAAGCAAAAACAGGAACGTCTGCTCTGCGAGCAAAATAATAAAGTATTTGTACCCAGCTACACCTACTATGATCAAATGCTTTTTATGGATGCTGATATCGCGCCATTCAAATGTGATTTTTGTCCAGTAATAGTGCAATCGCCACGAGAATTAGAAGTTCACCTTAGCACTCATCAGCCTGAAGGTAGTTATGCATGTAACGTTTGTCCTGTTAGCTTTTCAGATGTCGATCAGCTAAATCAACACAAACAAATACATGCACCGACACATAAAGAAGTCAAATATTGGTGTGATTTATGCACGGCCAGTTTTCGTACCAAAGAAGTGTACGATGAACATATGCGAAGGCATAATGATGAATTATTACTGCCTTCATTGGCTAACATTCCGCCTTTGGGTAGTGAAGACGGTAATTCTCTGATGAAAATGGAAAATAATGACTATGATGGATGCTATTCATGTGACATCTGTGGGAAATCATTTGCGAATATGGTTTATCTCAATTCTCATCGTGCACAACACACAAACGCCAGCGATCGTTCATACCGTTGTGATTACCCACATTGTGGGCGTTTATTTACTGCGCGTCACTCTATGATGGAACATGCCCGGCAGCACTACAGCGATGAAGAGTTTAAATGCGAAATTTGCGGCAAATCATTTAAATCGCTTAAAAATCTACAAAATCACAAACAAATACATGACGCTATCAAACGTTATGTTTGTAAAATATGTGGTTCGGCGTTTGCGCAAGCGGCAGGTCTGTATTTGCATAAGCGACGACATAATCGGCCCAACTCTCGTGTACGTCAAAGTTACTGATCCACATACATAAACCTGTAAAGGTTTTGCAAACGGCAGTAGACATAGTATGTAACCATTGCAATAACAATATTCTTCTAACTAACCTAACTATGCATGCTTAAGTAGTTACGTATATACATGTATTTGAAATTTGCACGAAATTAGGGGGGCTCCATATGGACTGTAACTATATAATTACTTAACATGATGAAATTAATCACATAGTAACGTTGACTAACGTTAGTAGTATTAATGCAATGCAAAGTTTTAAAATTGAAGAAAAAGTTCACAAATAGGGCGCATTCGAAAACGTCAAAAAACAAAGAATCAGTCTATTTTATTTCTAAACCTAGTTGAAAATTATGATTAATCGTGGTTGCGCACATTTGGCATTACAATCTGCCGAGGCTTACAAAGAAAAAAAAAACGAATACTTAGTATTTTGGACGTTTTCGAATGCACCCATACTTTAGGCTTCTTTTTAGTTGCGTTTTATCATTTTATTTAAAAGGCCTTTTTTGTATAAAGTTACCACGAAAGAGATTGTTCAAAGTTGTTTGTTTCTCAAGTATTATAACAACTTCATATTAACTTATTATTTGGCATAAATACATTAAGCTCGTTTGCTAGAAAATCCAAGGGAGATGACTTAAATATTAAATATATTACTAAAAAGCGAGATTATGGTCCTTATCTTAGTCATAGCGAAGTTTTTTCTTTTTGTTTGCTGTCTCCGACAGGATAAGATATTTGTTTATTGTGGCGAATCGCTGTCATCCACTGTCAAATTTAATTTGATCCCAAACTGTCTTCGGTCCTGTATCATCTTAGTTCAATTTTTTGTTTAGACCAATGTGACAAAGTGCCGAAATCAATTTGACTCCAAATCAACAAGAGATTACGAAAATTCGTTAAAAAATTATCAGATTGTTTCCAGTTTATAGTGCTTAAACAAAGATTAAGAGCAGAAGAGGCCAAAAACATTGTTAAAAACACAAACTTGTAAACCACTTTACTAGTAAACGAGCGATATATATGTATGTACGCTGCGAAAAAAATCACATTAAATTAGTTAATCTCAATGATAAAATTAGGTTTTTAGTATAAGATTGTACTTAGAACTTATGTATTAAATATAATCTTAAGAATAATTAAAGGCAAACTTATGCACATTAAATAATAATTAAAAACATAAAACCGAAAATAATCAGCTGGTAATTGAATTTCTGTATTTAATTTTTCCTGGTGTTGGTGTCGAAAAAATTAAATCATGATCTAGGTAAACATTAGACACTCACAAGGGAGTTTTTCTAGAATATACATATCGTGATCATCAAAGCAAAAGGTCGTATTTAAAAATTTCGGAAACATGGTTTTCTAAACATTCCGTTAGTTGACTTTCACACCTACACCGAAATTTAAATCCATATCTTAAAACATATGAGATTTATTTTCATCTTTAGAGCAGTTCCATATACGTGGTATTTAAAAAGTTTTTCGAGTTTCAAATTTTTTATATAGGACCTTGTGCGTTGAGGGTGACGATGTAAACTTTTTAACCACACTGTACAAGCGACAACGATTTTATACTTAAAATTTTTACGAATACTAGGCGTTGTAAAGGTTTTTTCTACATTACATAATGGGGGTGTACTCTAAGTCTTGCAAAACTCGTGCACGGGTTGCAAAGTTTACCCATTAGAAAAGGGTTTTGCATACTTTGGGAATACCCCTAATGTGCTCTATCATAGCAAACTCAAATTAATACATACATAATTTTCAAATGGAATAATATATTTTATTTTTTTAGTCCCCATACATACTATGTATGTATGTACATTAGGTGGTCCTTAAAACTCAAATGAATGACTTCAATCGGTAACACCACTATCATAGATATCACATATAAATCTTGGTCCCTATTGGAGACGGTTAAGGCGTGTCGCATATGGTGAAAGGCTCAGATTCTTCTATAATAATAATAATAATAATAGATCGGCGCTTACACATATGTTAGTGTTTGGCCGAGTCTCTCCTCAGATTCTTCTATGGAGACTCAAAAATTATTATTTTTCATATAATACCCAAAAACAGTACTACCATAACGAAGATATTACATATAATACATTTTGGTCCCGATTTGAGCCGATTAAGGCGATACTACTAAAGTCGAGGATATCACATATAAATTTTAGTCCCGATTGAAGACCGCTAAGACGTCGTCATAGGGTAATCTGAACTTCGTCCCCTGTGCTCCAAGCCTTAACCGAATTCAATCGGGACCAAAATTTATATGTAATACCTTCGGTAACGATAGCATAGATTTTGGGTATTAGACCAAAAAAATTAATTTTGCCCCTTGTGCGACACGTCTTAAAAATTTATATGTGATATCTTCGACTATAGTAGCATCGACGTAGAGGTTGAGGCTTAGGAAATCTGATGTAAAAATTTGCTCCCTACGTTTAAGGACCACCCTATTGTACATATATAGTGATACGATCTAGTATATTGAATATGTACATATTTATCTAAAATATGATAAACAAATTTAAAACTAACAGTCTTTATGGATGTATGTATGTATGGATTCATAAATGCTCTTTATCTTCATGAATTCAAAACTATTGAGTTTATATTGAAGAATATAGGAAATCGAATTAAAAAACAAGATTTCTACATATATTATTAAGCAAATAAAATTTGAAAGTAATATTTTAATAGAGTATAATATTTTGTTTTTATGACGATTTACGAAAAATAGGTAAAAAAAACTTTAATCAATACTTATTGAAACAAATAAAACAACACATTTAGAATTGTAATACTTGTACTAAAATCAAAGTATGTATAAATTTTATAACATGTTTTAAAAATTGCTAAATCGGGATTTACTCGAGCGTCATTTTGACTTATTGGATTTCGAAGATTATATAATGGATGGGAAGCAAAAAAGGTCGTGTGATGTTTTTCCTTCCAGTGGTGGTAAGGATCTACAGGCTTCCAAAAAAAAAAAAAAAACAGGTATGTACATGGATTTACTTAAGCGCGTCAGATATTGATTTGCATGGTGGGGTTGGGCGTACGGAAGGGTCAAAAATGGGTGACAAAAAAATTTACTCGAGCGCGTCAAATATTCACAAGGGATATTAAATGGGCCTCCCATTCAATAATCTGAAGATTCAGATGTGACGGAAGCTCGTGGTGCTTCTTGAAGATGCAAAAAAAACGGCATTTGGATTTACTCGAGCGCGTCAGATTTTCATACAGAAGGTTCATCCCGATGACCTGGTCGTCCTGTTCCATAATCTGACGATTATATGGAGGGGTTTTCTTATTCTGACGATTTAAAAAATAATTTCGTTTCTAAAATGCACAGTCAACCAACATATATTATTGTAAACACTTATTATTTTATCCGTGCAACTATCATCATACAGCAAGTCCGGTTCGACTTGGTCGTCAATTTCATCTACATGTTTCCCATCTGTAACAAGAAGTAATTTACAATATGCTTTTTTACATATTAAGTGAAAAGTGTGTTATTATAGAATTCACAAGGTATTATACCTGAGTCCCCGAATAGTCCAACAAAGGATTTGATCCACAAAACACACAACTGCATTAAGAAAAAACCAATTTGACTTAACACATAATTATTTTAAGCGTTTATACCTGTGTCCTTGGGGCGCACTCGCTGAAACCGTATTCAAAAATATACAAAATTGGTTTTATTTCGATACTTCTTTAATAATGGAATTGCGCGATTGACCGAAATGTAAGCGAACAATAACCCAAATTTATTTTAATAATAATTCAAATTTAAAACGGGCTGGACTCGGACCACTATCTTGTTGCAGCCAAGATACGCACACCCGCCTCTGTGCAGCAAAAAATGTGCGCCCAAATATGCAAGGAAAGCTTAACGTCGAAAAGCTGCAATCACAACAGACAGCAGCGCTTTCGCTACTCGACTCTCACACCTGCTCTCGGAGAGCACACTTCAACAAACCGACATATGCGAGCAGTGGAACCACATTTCCCGCTCATTAAGTACCGCCGCCGAAGAAGTAGTCGGATTTCAGCGAGCCCGAAAGAACAACTGGTACGATGAGGAGTGTCAGGAAGCTGCAGATAAAAATGATGCCGCCTACAGGTCCACTCTGCGATCGGACGCAACGCGCGCTATGTGGGACCGCTATAGGGATCTGAAGAGGGAAGCGAGACGTATTTGCCGCAATAAGAGAGAGGTCGAAATACGTGAGTGCGAAGAGCTTGAAATGCTGGCCGACAGGAAGAATGCCCGAAAATTTTACCAGAGAGTTAGGCGACTTACGGAAGGTTTTAAGACCGGGGCGTATTCCTGTAAGAACAATAATGGCGACCTAGTAACTGATGTCCAGAGCGTACTTGAATTATGGAGGGAACACTTCCGCCCTACTAAATGGTAGCAGCACGGAAAGTTGTGGAGAAGAAGAACCCGAGCCCGCAGTCGACGATGACGGAGTCGACGTTCCACCGCCTGACTATGACGAGGTACGTATAGCAATAAGGCGGCTGAAAAACAACAAAGCTGCTGGAGCTGACAGCCTGCCAGCTGAGCTATTCAAGTACGGCGGCGAGGAGTTGATAAGGTGCATGCATCAACTCTTTTGCAGAATATGGTCAGATTAACGCATGCCCGACGACTGGAATTTAAGTATGCTCTGGCCAATCTACAAGAAAGGTGACCCCGCCATTCGCGCCAACTACCGCGGGATCAGCCTTCTAAGCATAGGTTACAAGGTATTATCGAGCGTATTGTGTGAAAGACTGAAGCCCACCGTCAATGAACTGATTGGGCCTTATCAGTGTGGCTTTAGACCTGGAAAATCCACCATAGACCAGGTATTTACAATACGCCAAATCTTCGAAAAGACCCGCGAGAAAAAGATCGACACTCACCACCTATTTGTCGACTTTAACCCTTCGTCTGACACATGAGTCCAGCCAGGCCTTTTCCCTTTTCAAATTACAAAAAAGGGTACTTTAAATATAGCTAGAGGC